CCCTGCTCTGTGCGTGACAGGGGGTGGCGCCGCAACCTCCCCATCGACCCTGCCTTGAGTGTGACAGGGGGCGGTGGCCCAACCCCCCAATCGGCCCTACCCTGAGCGTGACTGAGGGTGGCATCACAACCTCCTTATCCGCCCTGCTCTGTGCATGACGGGGCGGCGCCCCAACTCCCCAATCGGCCCTGCTCTGAGCCTGACCAGGGGCTGCACTTAGGGATTGGGCCTGCCCTCTGCCACCCGGGAGCAGGCCTAAGCCAGCAGGTCATTATCTCCCGAGGGGTCCCAGACTGCGAGAGGGCACAGGCCGGGCTGGGGGACCCCCCCTCCCCATCCCCCCGAGTGCACAAATTTTTGTGCACCGGGCCTCTAGTTTATAATAAAAGGCTTTTGTGATGTAAAGATCTTATATGTTATCTTCTAAAATCACTATTTGAACAAGCTTCAACTATAATCTAATTGGCACACTCATGATTTTTTTTTACAAAGTAAAAAAAATGTATATATTTGCAATAAAATTGAGCTGACTGCTATTTTGCCCAACATAGCAACTTTGGTTGGGGATTGAAAAATGTCCATATCAAGTACCTGAATGTGATAAAATACATGACCTTCAGGTTAATACATTTGGTCTCTGGAAAATAGAAGAATTCCACACATGCAAACTATGTATGGTGAACTGCTACTACCTGCCCATCAAAACCATACCTAAAAATGTTTAGCAAAAGCAGACCAAGAGAATAAAAGACCAAGGTCATAGGGCCTGGGTCCTTCTCATTTTCCATTAAAAAAAAATGAAACAACCTTGGAATGCCACGTCTCCTCATTTTATAAAACAGAAATGTGGATTTATTCAGGAACCAGAGAAACAGTTTTCTCTTTTTTAAATCTCATCTTTTCACTAGCAAGTCTAAATGAGAATGTGATAAAAGTAGGGAATGTTACGAATAGAGTTTAATGAATCATAGGACCCACTGTACTGACGCGGGACACAGTTATGGCGAATGGAAGTTATCTGTACATTGCGTTTCTTATCCCTAGGCTCACAGAACCTCAAAATCTGCATCTGCCTTGTGTTTGTGTGCTCTTGTGATCATTCACACCACTTCTGTTACCCTCAAGGCACAGTACAATGCACATACAGAGCTCAAGGAAAACAAAAGTAAAGTCTGTTCAGGAACTGTAAACAGTGGAAGTGCAGAACTCACAGTGTGAACAGAATACAAATGTCTGTATTCTCAACCCCCAACATGAGCAGAATGAGGAACTGGCTTACCTCTGATGTGCCAAGCGCACGTTCTCCAGCTAAAAGCAGCATACTCAGTCCTCCCATTTGAGTAGGATCTAAGCCAAAAACAAATAAATCATCAATTTACAACCATTAAGTACATATAATCCACAGAGTCAAAAAAGGAAACTCACAAAGAGTAGCAATCAACATGCTGCAGAACCACATATAACTTTTTATAGAAAACTTTTCAAAATTCATTATGCCTGGCATATATGTACTTAGTACTCATACTTTTGTCAGCCTTTTAAATACACTGTGGTCCTACCATTCCAACATAATACATTCTTCAATGCCATAGCTGTTTATAACATGAATTATCTCCTTAATCTGATGCTTCTTTCCTTACTGCCTGGAGGGTTTAGGTGGATTTTTTTAAACAAAAGAATGCTATGCTTATCTTCTAAGAAGTTTGAGATTGTTATTCTCAAATTGTTATTTATGCCATGTAAAATCAGGGCTGAAATAAAGAACGAGGCTATAAGAGGAACTAGAAAACAGAGACAAATTTTACAAATGGGCCTGCAAAATCTAGTAGGCTTTGTTCAAACAATCTTTCTCTAAAACTTAAAATTAAAAATGATGTCTTTTTGACATATTAAATCTTAGAGATATAGTTGGGCCCTTCCTTGAAAATAGCTTTAAGATTTAAAATGAATCCTTTTTCTATTACTGAAGGTCTTTGTTTTCATTTCTTCAATAATCAACAGAAACAAAAGGACAAAATAAAAACAGCAAATTGACAGATCTCTGACCTGGGGTTATATCTAAACAAAGTAAGTATTACAGACAATTAGATACCTATATCCTTTAAGGTTGTCTTAAATATCAGAACTGCAATGAAATAACATGTGAAAATGCCTAACTCAGCGCCTATCATAGTACATGTAGGTCTTTAATCAGTGAGTTTTTAGCCCTGGCCTGTGTGACTACATGGCAATTCCCGGTCAGGGCATGCACCCAGGTTGCAGGTTCAATACCTGTTTGGGGTGCATACAGGAGTCAACCAATCAATGTTTCTCTCTCTTTCTCCTTCTCCCTTCCTCTCTCTCTAAAATCAACAGAAACACATTTAAAAAAGTAAATAAATAAGTTAGGTTTTGATTTTGGGAATCTCTCTACAATTAAAAAGGAGGATCAGGCATACTGTTGCCTGAAGACATTCAGGAGTTTCTTTTCTTTTTCTTTGTGGAATTCTTGTTTAAATGCATGCCCTTGAGTATATCTTTGTATACAATCTGTCTCCAGAACTCATGAAGCAACTCTGACCACATTTTAAAAACTGAAAAAAAAAAAAATCTGAGGTAGTTTAAAAAAGAGAAAAGATAATTAGAGGGGAAAATATGTCACCATATGATCAGGAGGTCAAGCTTAATGTTGAAAGGTGGCCACAGGAAGACACACACATAGAATACACAAGAGCATGCTGATGATGAAATAAGGCTTTTTACAGTCAAGAACTATTGTGGCTGTTAAAATAGATACTTAAATCTATTTAAAAATAAAAATCAGGAGGGGGAAATGAGTTCAGCAAAATGGAAAAGTTTAATTTGGTTCTCTGGGCAGTTAAATAATTTTGCAGCTATCATTTTAGAGATCAGGAGGATTGGATGATGGCTTTCTAATAAAGATAAAAATGTGTTACTTCAAATGATAAAGTAAAATAAGAACATACATATGATGATTTTAAGTTATACACCAATGTGACTTTGCAAGAAGTTTGATGTAATGACATGAAAACATAGACAAAGAAATTACCAACATACCTTATATTAATTTATATTTATATAATGTTAATTAAAAAAAATAAAGAATATGCTTTCCCTTCACTGAGAGGGCTTGTTCTAAGTTAAATTCTACATAGCTTTCCCTTCTTGGAAATCATACAACTGACTGCTTTGAGGTTATTCAAAATAGCAAAATGCTGTGTGACAAAAACTACTGGGAAAACAAAAAACAAAAAATGAGATTCCATGTTGAGGAAAAGCTTAAACTGGCCCCCAAGAGTCCTACAGTAACCCTTAAATTCAAACAGCTAAGGACCATGTTTTAATTAAAGGCAAATTAATGTGCTTTCATTGTATTGAAAAGGGAATAACTGGAAGTATCAGCCAATGTTACCTTGTTAAGTTAGTGTATACTTAACAAGGGCTCTGATCCTAGATTTCCAACATCCATCACAAGCCTTTACATGAGATAAATGCAAAAAAGATGTTGTTTTCTTCTTTCCTATATTTTGCTCTAAAGAGCACAGTTCTTAAAAGCTGACCTGTACATATCTTGGTTGAAAGTTTGGGTCCCACTTTTAATTTGTAGGTATGTAAGTTAGATTTATAAACTGTCAGAAATGGTACTATAAACAGATACATTCATAGCTTTCTGTAATTTACCTACAATTATGTTTGGTTTGTAAAGAGCCATTGTGTTCAAAAAATAAAAACAAACAAACAAACAAAAAAACTACACAGACTGACCTAGATTTAAAATTGAAAGAAAAAGCAATGGAAGATAAATAATAATTGAAGGAATTCAGTTAGAAGCCCATTGTCCATATATTCTTTTTTGGTCCTGATAATAAGATGTTTTATAAAACACTCCAATTGGTGTGGGAAGTCCAGAATGCTCACCAAGACTACTAGCAAGTGGTTTGAAGCTAAAATAGTACAAAGTGACAGCTAAAATGAGGAAAGATCTCTGTTTTGATTCTTCTGGGATATGTAGAAGTATCATTTTGGAAGCTCGCCTAGAATTATACTATGGACACCTACATAACAATCACCTGAAGACTTGTTCTCCCAGAATGTCGCCATTATATTAGAATGCATTCCTTAGGCTTATAAATGACACCACATACTTTGTCATATTATGATTAAATCACATTAGGCCTACTGGCCATAAAAAACAACAACAACAGAAAGTGTCATCACAATATTGTTCAACCTCATTCCCAAGCTCTCTATATTACAAATGGTTAAGTGCTCTCATTCAGAAGAAAATTGCTTGTAAGAAGGACATAGGAATCCTATAGCTCAACCTCAACTTCACTGCTTCCCCCTGCCCATCTCTCAATTTCATCCTGGAAAATTCCTCTTTTGAGTACTACCATGGCAATTTCCAGGGAAGACAGAGCCGTTTACAGGGTGAGTATAAATACTTCATTTCACGGTTATAAATGCTTTAGCATTCCTTACCACCCAAAGAGTATTAAAGGTCCCATAACAAATGGGGCCATCTGGACTTTTAAATTTGCCCGGCTCATACAGGATTGGGGGCAGGATGGGAATTCCCTCTAAGAAACATCTGTCAGGTCCATCTCAGACTTGTGACGAAGTTGTTCATATTCTTGCCCTAGATGATACATCCTCAGATGATCTACATAATTGTGGCTCTTTAAGTACCCATACTAACTAAGGTGCTTACTCAGATAGCTTACAGTGTATGTCTGTAAACTATGTTGTTACATTATAAAATTCCCTGAGCTCCTGACCATCTCCACATTGCTGTCTGCTTTTCCATAATGACAATGTCAGGAATTCACACCTCCTTTAATTATACATATGCATTCTATGTATGCTCCAAAGCTTTAAGATATACAATATTGCCACTATTTCCTACTGATCATATATTTTGCTTCTTTCTCTATTTTATTCTATCTCTCTCTCTATATTATTTGGGGAAGGTACTGCCTAAATAAAGAACTGGTAGAAATAGTATCTAAACTCACCAGCCATTCCAAAGTTAAGTTGAGGCATTTCTTCAGTCTTTGCTTTCTTGGGGCTTGGCAAGTCTCTTGAAGAGTCAGATGGGAAGGCCCATAGTTTCTTTCGTGGATTGACAGTGGGTGTTGGGGACTTCACAGGCTTGTTTGTGCTAGGACACCATTTGTAGCCAGGATTTGCCTTCATAAATGCATCTTTATACTATAAAGAATAAGTAACAGGTTTTAATGAACACGTAGATTGAAAATGTTCTAGCAGACTTCACATCATTACCCTATATAGATAATGATTGAAAAAAAAACCAAACCCACTTTCAGTAATGTCAATGGCTTTCCTTGTAGTAGGGATGACAATTCAGAACATGAATTCATTTACTAAAAAGTTCATTTGTGGGATGAGGGTACAGAAGCAGGCAATTTTTTATCTTTTATCCCTCAATATTTTATTAGTATACAAAAATCTGTCTGACTTTGGTGGAGAGAGGGAGTTATTTGTCCTGGAAAGAGCAAAAGGCTTTGAAGACAGAAAAACCAGAATTCAAACCCTAACATTTCCACTCGGACCATGGTGGCCAAGGATGGAGACCAGAATTGGAGAATGTAACACCTCTGGGCCTCAGCCTTGGTCTCCACAGACGGGAACTAACACCAAATGCCTAGGGTTACTGTAAACAGAGGTGCATAGCATGGTATCTGATACACATTACAAAGTGTGAACAGGCCAGTGACCAGGTTCTGCTCACTGTTTACTTTGGTAAGTACAGTAAAAATTAAACCTGTGCTTTGATGTAGGCAAACCTAACAGAGCAAAGTAATCAGCTATGGGATAAATGAACCAAGATTGAGAACAGAAGGGGAACAAGGTAGGGCCACATAATATATAACTTTCAGTCATTTGAGTATGCCAGGCCACATAGAAGAGAGTACTGGGTGCAGATTCTGGGGACCTGAGTTCAAAACCCATCTATGCTATCAGCCATCTGTGGACATTAAGCAAGTTGTTTAACCTTTCTCAGCTTCAATTCCTCCATCTGTAAAGTGTAACTGCACCTGCCAACATCCCAGGGCTTTGTAATGAGCACACATATTCACTAATGTGAATGGGCTTAGAGCTGTAATGTGTGATGTTGCAATTAATCCATCACAAACTTTGTCTTTACTGAGAGGTTTCAGCCTTCACTGACAGTGTCCTTTCTCCTTTATCTTCCTGTGGCTTTCTCCTGTAGCTCGTTCTCCCACATCTGCCACTTCTTTCCCCTTGCCTGACTAAATTAAATAAAAACTACTTACTGCTATTTATTATACACTAGAGGCCTGGTGCACAAAATTCGTGCACTCGGGGGGGTTAGGGGGAGGCTCTCCCTCAGCCTGGCCTGCACCCTCTTGCAGTCTGGGAGCCCTCTGGGGATGTCCGGCAGTTGGACATCCTTAGCACTGCTGTGGAGGTGGGAGCCCCCCACCGCTCCCCCTATGGGAGAGCACTGACCACCAGGGGGCAACTCCTGCGTTGAGCATCTGCCCCCTGGTGGTCAGTGCACATCATAGTGACCGGACCTTGGGCTGTTTGGTTGATTTGCCTTTTATTATATACAATTGCCAAAAATTGTCATCCAATAAAATGGATTTTCCATGTGTTCTTCAACTATTATATGTTATTACTGCTGGATACTCTATTAAATTAATGCAATTCTTTTAACCCCATAAGTTTGCCTTTTAAAATGGTCTCTTTGTGTGTAAAATGAACTATCACTATAAGCTCCAAAGCTTTTTATTTAGCCAAATGGGAAATAAAGTTTCCTTTACCCTTGCTATAAAGTATATGTAATCCAAACAACAAACTTTTCTCAGCACTTCACTTAAAATCATATAGAAAATTGTACTGTATCTAGTCAATGGTTTAGAATTATTTAGAATTATCTTAATTCAAATTTTTCCTTTTTTAAAAATAAAAACTGTATATCTGACTACTGATATATAGGAACATATAGGAGGAAGGTAACCATGAAAAACTGTAAGATACAGTTATACTTTTCTTACAAAAATAATTAAAATGGAACACAAAACCAGAAGAAACTAGAATTTACCACGACATAGCGGAATGTATTGGGAGATACCAAATGTGATAGAAGAAATACCCTATCCTACATGTGCACGGGGGCATTTACATATTAAGCTGGGCAGACAAATAGCCTGGCCTGCTGTCCGGAGGTGGAAAGTGACAAATGGCAGGGAGAGGTGAAAATGGAAGTAGCAGACACATGCATCACTATTGTGTTCCAGTGGAAGACACACAGGCTAGGTTTGTCAGATGAACAGTCATTTGGACAAAGGTCACCACTCTATAAAGTGACAAAGGACTTTCAAACAAATGAATTAACATATTTGTCATGAGAAATTTTCAAGAATTTGGCAGTTTTATAAGAAAGTTCCAGTTATGAAAGTTTCAATTACTACAGTAAATCCTGATAACTTTGGAATTTGTGATCTTTCAAAGGGATATAGATAAAAGTTAACTTTTGCACTGTTTGAATAATTCATGCCATAAACTATTTTGTGAGAAGAAAGTTTATACTGTTTAAGGAAATTACTAAACCTCAGTGAACACATTAAAAAAAAAAAAACCAAAACAAGCATTTTACAATTCAAATGAGTTAACATGAATTTATCTATTTTACATTTTCAGAAATGTAGATAATATTACTCACCCAGATCCATATTCACTTTCTAAAAAGTAACAAAATTAGATTAAAAAGAAATTCTGACATTTTGGTGTTTTATTAATACAGACTTACTAAACTGACTTTTCTCCTAACTACCCAAATTAGGGAGTAAAATTATTCTTTAAAATGTTTTTATATATGAAAATTGCCACAGTAATCCTTACAGCCAATTTAGGTAACAGAATCAATAGTTAAGTCTTATGTTCTGTTTTTCCTTTATGACTTTTCCATAATAGAATAACCAAGCCATTCCATAGCCACTTAATCAAGTCAGTTTTTGAAGTGTGTGACATTTATTGGAGTGGTTTTATCATGCAAGTTTTGCAGGTTAATGTATAACTTAAAATATTTTTGTTCTGTCAAAACCATAAACTTAATTCAATGTTCTGTCACATCAAACAGTCTAATTTTCTTTCTAGTAAAGATAACTAAGCAACAATAATTCAGATCAATTAATGCTATTGTGTCTTATTATCTAATAAATGATAATTTTTAAAATTTTTGTGAGGGAAAGGTTCTAGAACTAAGGAAGTAGAGATTAGTGCCATTTTTTAAGTCTTCCTTTCCTCTTTCACCCATGTATAATGTGATTTTGCCTGCCACAGAGAACTATAGCTGTTTCAAAATGTATGTTAGGGGTTCACTTAGCCCCCTGCAGTTATAAAATAAAAAAGTGCTATATCTCTTTTTAAAATATCAGATAATTTCCTGTGCAATCTCTCCTCCAAAATTCCGGTAGATTTTATTTTATGGAGATATTTCACATATTTGCACCAGAATCAGCTATCTTTTTTTGTATAGGCATTCCCAGGGTCCCTTATTACTTATGGTCTTCACCAGGGTTGCCATTCTCTTTCACTCTGTTGAGATCTAGACTGTATTAATAACTAGAAATACTACTGGACTTTTAGGTTGCACCCCCTTCCCCGCATTAAAAACAAACTGTTGGAGAATAGTTAATAAATTTAAAATCAAATTGCCAATCTCATCAATGATCTGGAAAATTAATGTTGAGACCCAATTTTTAAAACATTAACATAAGGTGCCCAGTCAGTGTGGCTCAGTGGCTGAGCATTGAGCCATGAACCAAGAGGTCACTGGTTCAATCCCAGGTCAGGGCACATGCGCGGGTTGTGGGCTCAATCCCGGATTGGAGGGGGGGTGGGGGAGAGGATGTGTGCAGGAGGCAGCCAATGAATGTTTCTCTCTCATCAATTTTTTTTAATCTCTCTATTCCTCTCCCTTTCTCTCTAAAATCAATTAAAAATATTTTTAAAAGATAAATATAAACTCTTGTCTTTGGTATATAACAATGCCATTGTCACATATGAAGTAGGCAAAATGCTGTCATAAAATGGATGCATTTACTACCATCACTGAAGAACAGTGATTTAGTATTATTGCTAATGAAATGTGGTGATGGTTGGGATTAGAGAGAAGGGAGCCCGCATTTACTGAGCACCTTGTAAGTCAGGGGCTGTGTCTGTAAAGTAGAATCACATTAGGTTATCTAATGAGTTGGAAATTTGTGGGGGGGAAATGGAAATCATGAAGTGACTTTTTACTTTACTAGGGGATTTTTGAAAATTATATTTAGTAAATTACTTTTGAGGTAGTACCAGTAGCCCAACATGGATGCTCTTAGAAGATAACTGAGTTTTCTCTCCTACCCTCAGCAAGGATCCAGATGAGTGGAGCCGATCTCTTCGGCCCTTTTAATCCTGTGATGATGGATTTTTGCCCACATGGTTAACCAGCATGCTAATAGTTTCACTCAGCTATTTGCTTCAGACTAATACACTCTTCCTTCATTTCTTTCTTACACAGACGTCTCTGTAATTCCTTTCCTTAATAACCTCATCACAACGAATGATTAAGCCTTTCTGTTGTCTCTTAGAGTTGAATCAGAGCAAGTGATTGATGAGGTGCCTACTTTCAGGGACAGAGAGACATCCTTACAGCCTGAGGCTCTTTCTGCTTCTGACCACACTTGTTCATACACTGCTTGCATTGACCTGTGTGTCTTTGCATGAATTTACAGCTTCTCCATCTAAGCATTAAATTCCTATTCTCTTCTCTATCGTCCACATTTTTAACTCCTTTGCTCAATATGTACATGATTGGACTAATGAATACTGTCTTGGTACTGCTCATTTACATTGAATTTAAGATTTTGGAAGACTAATATTGTGATAGTGACAGTGTATTGACCTTCATAGTGATTTCTCTTTACTGTTTTCCATAAAAGCCACATACTCCAGGGCTTTTGCTTGTCCTTTGTTCTTCAACCCATAGGTAGCTTCCCCTTTTACCGACCCTTTGAAAAACCATTTTTTCATTCCTGAGGCAGGGAAAGGCCTATGGACCATGTAAAAAAGAAATAATACAGGGTAGGGCAAAAGTAGGCTTACAGTTTTAAGTACAGGAAACACAGTTTATCCTTGTATTATTATATTATTTTCCATATGAACACGTCAACCTA